TGATGAAAGGCAAAAGGAGACAGCAGCAGAAAGCTTCGTCTTTCTGTCTCTTCTTTCTGTCTCTTTCTTTTTTTTATTTTTTATTTTTTTATTTTTTTATTTTTTTGTTTCTCTCTTCTCTCTTTCTCTTTTCTTTTTTTCTTTCTGTCTCTCTCACTTCTTTCTTTTTTTTATTTTTTTATTTTTTTTATTTTTTTATTTTTTTATTTCTTTCTCTGTCTTTGTTGCGGCTGCATAAGGGGGCCCCCCAGGGGGCCCCTATCTGTGCTGCATTTGTGGGCCCCCTATAAGGGGGCCCCCATCTATCTATTTGCTGCTGCTGCTGCAGCAGCAGCTGCAGCAGAAGCAGCTGCAGCAGCAGCAGCAAATAGATAGATGCCGCTGCAGCAGCAGCTGCAGCAGCAGCAGCAGCAGCAGCAGCAAGAAGTGTTAGTTAGCTGCTGCAGCTCTTACTTCTTCTGTGTGCCAGTATACAAAGACCTGCTGCTTTTTTCTGGCTGCAGCAGCAGCAGCAGCAGCAGCAGGATCAGCATTTTTATCTCCCGCATCCCCGTCAGCTGCTGCAGCCGCCGCTCCACCTCCAGCAGCAGCAGCAGCAGCAGCAGCAGCAGCAGCAGCAGCAGCAGGATCAAGAGGAACTACCTTTTGTCTATAAACCCCCAAAACTTCGTTGCCTGACGGCAGCAACCACACCCCTCTCCCTTTTGGTTTGCTGCAGCAGAAGCTGCCGCTGTAGCTGCTGCCGTCGCTCCACACCCACTGCCCCCGCACAAACTCCCCAAACACCCACTCTCCTTTTAGCTGAAACACACCAGCAGCAGCAGCAGCAGCAGCAGCAGCAGCAGCAGCAGCAGCAGGGGGTGAAGAGGGGGCGCAGCAGCAGCGGCAGCAGCAGAGAAAAAGGAATAACAGCAAAAACACAGCAGCAGCAGCAGCAGCAGCAGCAGCAGCAACAACTACAATGTGTGCGATAGCAGCTGCTGCAATAGCAGCAGCAAATGCAGCAGCAGCAACTGTATATGCTGCTGCTGCTGCTGCTGCTGCTGCTGTTGCTGCTGCTGCTGCTGCTATTGTACATCTATGAGGGCTTATATCATCATAAAAACAAAACAAAAAAAAAACAAAAAAAACAAAAACAAAAACAACAAAAGGAAGTAATATATAAACAAATAAATAAACAAATAAATAAATAAATAAATAAATAAACAAATAAATAAACAAACAAAAAAACAAAAAGTAAAATTACGTTTTGTTTGTTTTCTTTGTATCTATAGGTGCCTTGGCCGTGGTAGCATCCCTCACCATAAAAACAACAAAAAAAAAACAGAAAAAAAACAAAAAAAAAACAAAAAAAAACAAAACAAAAACAAAACCAACAAAAGAAAGTAATAAACAAACAAATAAACAGACAAAAAAACAAAAAGACAGACAAAAAAACAAAAAACAAAATTACTTTTTGTTTGTTTTCTTTGTATCTATAGGTGCCTTGGCCGTGGTAGCAGCCATCGCTCCACAATAAAAAAAACAAAAAAAAACAAAAAAAAAACAAAAAAAAACAAAAAAAAAACAGAAAAAAACACAACAAAAACAAAACCAACAAAGCAAATGAATAAACAAACAAATAAACAAACAAAAAAACAAAAAAACAAAAAACAAAATTACTTTTTGTTTGTTTTCTTTGTATCTATAGGTGCCTTGGCCGTGGTAGCAGCCATCGCTCCAGTCTCCATAATAAAAGTCTCCATTTGCAAACCGCCGAACACCCACGCCCTCACGCACCCCACACACAAACTCTCCTGCAGCAGCAGCAGCAGCAGCAGCAGCAGCAGCAGCAGCAGTATGAGTATCAGCAGCAGCAGCAGCAGTATGAGTATCAGCAGTAGCAGCAGCAGCAGCAGCAGCAGAAGCAGAAGCACTCTATTAGCAACCGCCGAACACCCACGCCCTCACGCACCCCACACACAAACTCTCCTGCAGCACCACCACCACCACCACCACCACCACCAGCACCAGCACCAGCACCAGCAGCAGCAGCAGCAGCAGCAGCAGCAGCAGCAGCAGCAGCAGC